CATAATAAAAGTACAACACTAATGTAGCATTTCTGGATAAATAGTAAACAAAATTTATGTTAATTGTGCATATATATATATATATATATATATATATATATATATATATATATATATATATATATATATATATATATATATATATATATATATATATATATATATATATATATATATATCGTACCTAATAGCCAGAACGCACTTCTCAGCCTACTATGCAAGGCCCGATTTGCCTAATAAGCCACGTTTTCATGAATTAATTGTTTTTCGACTACCTAACCTACCTAACCTAACCTAACCTAACTTTTTCAGCTACCTAACCTAACCTAACCTATAAAGATAGGTTAGGTAGGGTTGGTTAGGTTCGGTCATATAGCTACGTTAATTTTAACTCCAATAAAAAAAAATGACCTCATACATAATGAAATAGGTAGCTTTATCATTTCATAAGAAAAAAATTAGAGAAAATATATTAAATCAGGAAAACTTGGCTTATTAGGCAAATCGGGCCTTTCATAGTAGGCTGAGAAGTGCGTTCTGGCTACTAGGTACGACATATATATATATATATATATATATATATATATATATATATATATATATATATATATATATATATATATAAATATATATATATATATATATATATATATATATATATATATATATATATATATATATATATATATATATATATATATATATATATATATATCCAAGGTAGATCTTGCTCCAACTGAATTATTATTTTATCCTAATATTCATTAGTTCGTCAATAAACGGAGGACATATACAAAAATATGCTCTTCATTAATATATTACACCATAATCATCATCTTATTATTATTATTATTATTATTATTATTATTATTATTATTATTATTATTATAGTTACAGTAATATCACACAAAAATAATAAGGAAACTTTAGTGCTTTAGTGCAGACACACTAGTGGTGAGTCTGGTGGTGGTGGTGGTGATGCAGGCAGTGGTGGTGGTGCAGGCAGTGGTGGTGGTGGTGGTGGTGCAGGCAGTGGTGGTGCAGGCAGTGGTGGTGATGCAGGCAGTGGTGGTGGTGCAGGCAGTGGTGGTGGTGCAGGCAGTGGTGGTGATGCAGGCAGTGGTGGTGGTGCAGGCAGTGGTGGTGGTGCAGGCAGTGGTGGTGATGCAGGCAGTGGTGGTGGTGCAGGCAGTGGTGGTGGTGCAGGCAGTGGTGGTGCAGGCAGTGGTGTATCTGATGGTGCTCAGGGGAACTAACCAGTGGTGACCTCGACAGCGACGCCTCTGAGTGGTCCCGTGGTGGCGGTGCTGGTGATCCTGGTGCTGGTGCTCCTGGTGGCGGTCACGGCCGCGCTCCTCCACTACTTCCGCTACTTCCCACTCATGTAAGTCCCCCTTCGCTATGTCCACCCCCACTTTCCCCCCATGTAAGTCCCCCCCTCACTATGTCCACCCCCACTTTCCCCCCATGTAAGTCACCCCCTCACTATGTCCACCCCCACTTCCCACCCATATAAGTCCCGCAGAAATTCACCAGGATTTGTGAATGTCATTTATTATGAAGAAACTTGGGTCATGGGTACACGCCTTTGAATGTTCCATAGACATGACTTACATGCTAAAAAAAAAAGTTATATAAACTGAGTAGAAACAAAAACGTAAAAGCAAGCAACATATGATGTCGTTTTTACCGAATCATAATAAAATGGTAGACTTTATCAAAGGATTCATTTAGTGTCAGAAATTGGGACGAGATTTATAATTGGGAAGGATATCTATCCTGATATATATGAACTTTTTTATATGATCTTGATATATGAACGTTTCTGAGATAATGCATGAAAAGCTCTCTCCTGTATTTGCCAGTCCTAAAACTTGCCTTGATATGTGTGTATCATAGTTCCAGGATATGTATGAATGATACATATCATTTATGTAAGGTGAATGATAAGGTGAATATATTATGATATATGAGGATATATCTTATGATATATGAGGATATATCTAATGATATATGAGGATATATATCTTATGATATATGAGGATATATCTTATGATATATAAGGTGAAGGCCCTGTAGGGGAGAGAGTTGACAGACTGCTAGTTACAGGTAGGGAGGTCCTCGATCCCTTTCTCGACTGGGTATACCTATGTAGGTCTCGTGGCTATATTTACTTCACTCTTAATTACTCTTATTTTCTCCTATTTGTTCGATCGTGCTCACTCCCTCCTCTCTCTCTCTCTCTCTCTCTCTCTCTCTCTCTCTCTCTCTCTCTCTCTCTCTCTCTCTCACCTCTGTCATGTCCCCAGGAAGCACAGCACGTCCATCGACCTGCCGTTGGTGGTGTCGCTTCCGCCAGACGTGAGTGTGGAGCGTCGCATTCCCCTCTCCCAGCTCTCCTCCGCCGTCTGCACACTCCTCTCCCAGGGTGAGTCCTCCTCTCCCACGGTGAGTCTTCGTCTCCTAGTCCATAGCCAGCCGTTCACATGGTAAGTCCTCATCCCACAGTGTCTAGCCCCTCTCCCACGGTAAGACCTCATCTCCCATGTGAGTCTTCTCCCAAGGTGCGTCTATCTCTCCCACGGTGATCCATCCACCTCCCACGCACCTCACTGTTCTTGGGTCACGGGTGGTATTGTGGGACCAGGTAAGTTTGTCTTGTGTGGTGCTGATGGCCAGGGTAGGTCTTTCTTTGTTCTGGGGGTTAGGGTAGGTCTTTCTTTGTTCTGGGGGTTAGGGGTGGGTCTTTCTTTGTTCTGGGGGTTAGGGTAGGTCTTTCTTTGTTCTGGGGGTTAGGGTAGGTCTTTCTTTGTTCTGGGGGTTAGGGGTGGGTCTTTCTTTGTTCTGGGGGTTAGGGTAGGTCTTTCTTTGTTCTGGGGGTTAGGGGTGGGTCTTTCTTTGTTCTGGGGGTTAGGGGTGGGTCTTTTTTTGTTCTGGGGGTTAGGGGTGGGTCTTTCTTTGTTCTGGGGGTTAGGGTGTTATGAGGTCAAGGTAGCCTTTTTCACTTATGGAGTCAGGGAGGGGGAGGTACTTGTAATCATGTAGTTTGTGAGTGACTTTGTAGTCGTTTGGTATTTGTAGGTCTATCTTGTTGGGAGCCACCAGGTGTAGTTATGGTCACAATCTCACCAAGTGACTAACCACCATCTCACCAAATGACTAACTACAATCTCACAAGATTTCATGTTTCAGGTCAGGTGGCACTGTCGCGGGAGTACGCGGAGCTGAAGGCGGTGTCGCCGATGAAACCGTGGGAGTACGCGCTCCTCCCGCCCAATAAGGTCAAGAACCGCTACATCAACATACTCCCGTGTGCGTGTACTCAACGTCTAGTTGTATTACCGTGTTAGAGAGATGGGGGGGGGGGGTCGAACTGTGGCTTCCCGGTCAAGTGTTTTTAGAGAAGTGGTCGTCTTGTGCAATATATGTCTCTGAAATCTCTTGTACTGTGTGATACAGGTCAGGTATTTGATGGAGTGTGTGTGTGTGTGTGTGTGTGTGTGTGTGTGTGTGTGTGTGTGTGTGTGTGTGTGTGTGTGTGTGTGTGTGTGTGTGTGTGTGTGTGTGTGTGTGTGTGTGTGTGTGTGTGTACTCACCTAGTTGTGCTTGCGGGGATTGAGCTCTGGCTCTTTGGTCCCGCCTCTCAACCGTGTGTGTGTGTTGGGGGGGGGGGTGTTTGTGTGCGGTGCTGGAATCCGCCTTTCCAGCCGGCGATTGTCTTAATGTTGATCTATTTTTCTATCGTATCTACTTTGGGAATTATAAATGGGGTTGGCCTCCTCAGCGTGATCGGTTAGTTCATTCGTATTCTCTACTATTCTTACGCTAAACGAAAATGTCTAACATCTTTATGGCTCATTTGTTTCTCAAGCTACCAGCCATACCTCTTGTTCTATTTATATTCATTGTGAATAATTCCTCTTTTTTTCCATCCAGCCAATCCCCCTAAGTATTTTATTTATCTCTTATCATGCTACCGCTCTATTTCATCTTGTTCTTCTTTTAAAGACGCTAAGTCCAGCTCTATCAGGCTCTCTGACTCTCCATCCCACATGATTCTGGGACGATCCTCATTCCAGACCTCTGTGCCTTTTCGAGTTTCCCCTGTGTACTTTTGAAGTGGGGCGCCACGATGAATGTTTTCTCAAAGACTGGGCTCACGTTGGCGGTAGGGTAGGCCTACCGCCAACGTGAGACTAATCAAAATGATTAGTCTCCATGCACCCCCGCCCCCCCGGCAGTCCAGTGCTGAGCCCACTCAGCCACAGACTGTCACAAGTGTTGGGAAGTCTTACTGAGACCTGCACGTACGCAACATCACTAGTGGCATTATTGACCCTGGCTGATCGGGTTCGAATCCTTCAGGAGTCAACCGTTTTTGGCTGTATATTGGCTTGGGGATCATACAAACTTTGTACAGAAGCTTGTATTGTATAGAAGTTTGGTTGATATATGCATTAACGTATTGAATATTTTTAGTGTATCTGTGAAGACTTAATATTTGCAGCTGGAGGAAGATTCCTTAATACATTACCAAAACATTTTTTTTTTTTGGGGGGGAGTAAAGAGGAAGGAGAGGCATAGGTGAAGGGAAGTATAGAAGTGGGAAATACAGTGAGAGGTATGAAAGCAGGCGGGCTGTCCGCCTTGCTGGCACGATGTGTGGGTGTTGGCAGCTAAGCTAAACTGGCTCCCTCTTGTCAGGGAGCTGTGAGTGTGTGAGAGGTTCTTCACATGTGTTTCTTACCAAAACATAAGTAATAATGCTTTGGCTTTCGCTACAGTTGATGAGACCCGGGTGAAGATGAGGGAATACCGCTCTATTCCTTGCAGCGACTACATCAACGCATCCTACATTCACGTAAGGAGTCCAGTAGGGTTATGATGGTTTCAAGTGCTGGGGTACTTTTGAATCTATTGTTTCAAGTGTTGGGGAAGTGTGTGTGTGTGTGTGTGTGTGTGTGTGTGTGTGTGTGTGTGTGTGTGTGTGTGTGTGTGTGTGTGTGTGTGTGTGTGTGTGTGTGTGTAACTATTGTATCACTGGGGACGTATTTATGAAGCTATCGATGGTCTGACGTTTGCTACATATACACAAATATACATAACCCCTTTCCTCACAGGGTTACAACACGCCGAAGGAGTTCATTGCTTGTCAGGGCCCTACTGAACACTGCATCGATGACTTCTGGCGAATGGTGTGGGAGAAGAACGTTCACGTCGTGGTCATGGTGACTCAGTGCGTCGAGAGGAACACAGTAAGTCCCCATACTGGACCTCCTTATTACACATGGACGCTTAAAGGTGTATAGCATTATTCATTTTATTTTAATATTATTGCGAATTACCAAAAGAATCCCCGGGCGGGACAGAGTCGGAGGGTCACGTTTCCTTTTACCTGATGAGCCTGTTCACCTAAATAGGTACCTGGGAGTCAGACAAGAGTTGTGGGTTGCACTCTGGGGGAACGTCCGCAGGGCCCCCCCCCCCCTAGGGAGACCTCCATAAACCTAACACGCTCCCTTTCCCTGACTACGGGAAACCACATCACAAGTTTCTGACTAAACTTTACATTAGCATTAGTCTGGTCTTTCCATTCGTTTATTGTTTCTGTTTGAATAGTAATTAAGGTGAATGATGGAGAAGTGCATGAGTATGAAGTCAAGTCGAGTCTTCTGTACTTGCTGCTAATGAACCACGTTTTGATACCCCTATTCTGGCCATGTTAAGTTAAAGCTAAGCTTTGGTTTTTATAAGTGTCGCAACTTGCTAGTTTTGGTCAACTTGTCACGCATTATTATGTGTTTACAACGAAGTATAATGAAAATAAGCATCAAATGACCTGACCTGACATAATAAAGACAGTGTCTAAGTTTACTAGCTGTTCATAAGACTTCTGGTTATTGCATATACAACAATTCATTACCACTGTAATTAGCTTACATAATGCATTGCGGGCCCCCTGCAACTGGGGCCCAGGTGATGGGCCCATCACTGGCTCCGTAACCTCGGAATGACGGGGCTTAATAACTCAGCTAAAACTAACGTTTGCTACATATACAACAGTATACATAACCCCTTTCCTCACAGGGTTACAACACGCCAAAGAAGTTCATCGCTATCTGATAGCGAAGGTAAAAATACCCTAACAGAGGTACAGTAGTAAAAGAAAAAATAATTTTCATAATAATGAAGTCTTTGTTTTGGCAACGTAGGTTTACTAGGCTACAGTTTTCTTCACGAAAAACGCGTTGTGATGCTTTGAGAAAATTGTCCTTAAAAGATGGTTGACAATTGCCTCCCATAAAATTATCTTAAGGAGCTTGCAAATCTTTGGGAACAGTGGTTGAAACTGTACTAAGATACGTCATTAATGTTATATATTAGGATAAAAGTCATTAACACAATATATTAAGATACATATTACGGTACAAAGTCAATAATACAATATATTAAGATACAAAGTCATTAATACGATATGCCATGATTGTCCAACTGACCCAAATTTGTCCTTGACAGAGAAAATGTAACAAATACTGGCCCGACTTGACAGAGGCTGGTCTGGAGTTCAAACAGTCAAGACTGAGGTTGAGGACGCTACAGGTAATAACATGAGTCGAGGGGGCTCGTAGCCTGGTGGATAGCGCGCAGGATTCGTAATTCTGTGGCGCGGGTTCGATTCCCGCACGAGGCAGAAACAAATGGGCAAAGTTTCTTTCACCCTAAGTGCCCCTGTTACCTAGCAGTAAATAGGTACCTGGGAGTTAGTCAGCTGTCACGGGCTGCTTCCTGGGGTGTGTGTGTGTGTGTGTGGTGTGTGGGAAAAAAAAAAAAAAAAAAAAAAAGTAGTTAGTAAACAGTTGATTGACAGTTGAGAGGCGGGCCGAAAGAGCAAAGCTCAACCCCCGCAAAAACACAACTAGTAAACACACACATCTTAATGATATGTCTTATAGCCAGCAGGTGGTGCTTTACAACACTACAAAATACATGTCAAACTGACAGCGATGGAGAGAAATATAGAGTTGTACGCACGATGACAAGCCAACACAAGCCTAATATTTGGGTTTGTGTCTCCGTTTCTATTGGATTTATCAAGTTAGATAGGAATTCCTGGTCACACATATTAGCTATCTATCAGGATAAACTTATATACTAGCCCGTATTATTACTGTGTCACAGGTTTGTACATAAAACAGTTAATTCTATACTCAAGAGTTAGAAGTAAGAGACAAAATTAAAGATGGATAAATCCTACATGAAATAGCTGTAAGCAAGATAAACCCAAAGATATTGCATTGATAATTTATTCGCTGATTCAGATAATACTGAGGGCTTTATCCTCTTTGCTGGATAAAGGTCAAGCAAATCTTGATCCAGGACAATTTTTCTATCCGTCCCCCTACCCAATGTGACCCTTTTCTGCCGGCTCCCTCCCCAGTGGGACATTTTCCTGCTGGTCCCCTCCCCAGTGGGACATGTTTCTGCTGGTCCCCTCCCCAGTGGGACATTTTCCTGCTGGTCCCCTCCCCAGTGGGACATGTTTCTGCTGGTCCCCTCCCCAGTGGGACATTTTCCTGCTGGTCCCCTCCCCAGTGGGACATGTTTCTGCTGGTATCGTCCCCAGTGGGACATGTTTCTGCTGGTCCCCTCCCCAGTGGGACATGTTTCTGCTGGTATCGTCCCCAGTGGGACATTTTCCTGCTGGTCCCCTCCCCAGTGGGACATTTTCCTGCTGGTCCCCTCCCCAGTGGGACATGTTTCTGTCCCCTCCCCAGTGGGACATTTTCCTGCTGGTCCCCTCCCCAGTGGGACATGTTTCTGCTGGTATCGTCCCCAGTGGGACATGTTTCTGCTGGTATCCAGTGCATATAACGTGTATTTTGTCGCTAGACTTCCAACATAATAATGTGTACATTCTACCGTCGTGTGGTCCACTGTTGCTATTTTGTTCTTAGTCTTAGCTTTTGTCATAATTCAAAAACTATCGCAATTATCACATATTATAACCTTACATATACTTATTAAGTTTTGTATACTATTGTAATCTGTTTTATTGTGTTCTAGTTAATCTTCCCTAAAGACTTTCGTTCCAACGAATTGATAACCAACTTAAATTTATTAAAGGTATGTCTTTTGTACTTAATTGTTATCTGTTTTTTAACCGTTGATATAATTACATTTTCTTCACAAAAATATTATTTGTTCTTATTACAATTTCTGCCGTTGTATCAAATGTAGATACGAATGAGCCTAATACGCTCCAGATTCTGTACACCATTTGATTGACAGGTGAGAGGCGGGACCAAAGAGCCAAAGCTCAACCCCCGCAAGCACAACTAGGTGCTTCGGGGGCACACACACACACACACACACACACACACACACACACACACACACACACACACACACACACACACACACACACACACATATATATATATATATATATATATATATATATATATATATATATATATATATATATATATATATATATATATATTGAATGTATGTGGAGGAACCGATAACCCCGAGATTAAAGGTAGCTGGCAGCCTTTGTAACTCTTAAGACTAGTAATTAGGGACCTGGTTATAAATCAAATGGTGGGTTGTGTAGCAGGAAAAGACTAGAAGGGGTAAAGCTTAAGATGATTTGTGTGAAGAGAAAGTTTTACACATGCGAAAAGGAGTCAGAAGTCGTCTTCTGTACCCACCTCTGTGAAAAAAAAGATGCATGGTAAAAAAACTATACATATACTATAAATAAATATACTGTAATGATTGTAACAATTCTATTCAAAGCAAAAGTCTATCTTTTCTAACAATTTCAAGCTTAACATTAAAGAAACCCTTAAGAACGCTTAATTTGCATCCGCCTTATAATTATGTCATGCAGTGGTATACTTATCTTTGAACAAATCCACAAGGGCCGTGACGAGGATTCGAACCTGCGTCCGGGAGCATATAATCTTTAATTTTGTTTATTATTTCTAACTCGATTTGTAACACATATTTACTGATAATATATATATATATATATATATATATATATATATATATATATATATATATATATATATATATATATTAAATATGACCGAAAAAGTAAGATTAATAATTCTAACACGAATTTTCTCAATCTTTCGTACATTATGCTTCACTGTTGGAGGTAAATCAAAAATCACTTCTCCAAAATTCATTTTTATTTCTAGTCTGACGCGACACGGGCGCGTTTCGTAAAACTTATTACATTTTCAAAGACTTCACAAATACACAACTGATTAGAACTTGCGTTTCCCTGATTTTATATCTACATTTGAGTGAGGTGGGAAGGGTGATGTGGCATTACATTTGAGTGAGGTGGGAAGGATGATGTGGCATTAACACAAGACAGAACACTAGAGGATATTAATAGGGTATTAAAAGTATCAACACAAGACAGAACAGGAACAATGGGTATTGAATAGAAGTGTTTGTAGAAAGCCTATTGGTCCATATTGATGCTTCTATATTGAGCGGAGTCTTGATAGAAGCATGAAATATGGACCAATAGGCTTTCTACAAACACTTCTATTCAATACCCATTGTTCCTGTTCTGTCTTGTGTTGATACTTTTAATACCCTATTAATATCCTCTAGTGTTCTGTCTTGTGTTAATGCCACATCATCCTTCCCACCTCACTCAAATGTAATGCCACATCACCCTTCCCACCTCACTCAAATGTAGATATAAAATCAGGGAAACGCAAGTTCTAATCAGTTGTGTATTTGTGAAGTCTTTGAAAATGTAATAAGTTTTACGAAACGCGCCCGTGTCGCGTCAGACTAGAAATAAAAATGAATTTTGGAGAAGTGATTTTTGATTTACCTCCAACAGTGAAGCATAATGTACGAAAGATTGAGAAAATTCGTGTTAGAATTATTAATCTTACTTTTTCGGTCATATTTAATAATATATGTCTACAGGAAAGACTGCTACCAAAATATACTAATATATATATATATATATATATGCTGTTGATTTTTCAGGGTTATCGTTCCCGGATTGTGCAACACTTCCACTTCATCTCGTGGCCGGACATGGGCTGCCCGGACACCCCAGATGACCTCATCCAGCTGGTGGAGACGGTGAGGAGCGCCGTGCCCGCCAACAGCTCCCATGTCCTCGTCCACTGCAGGTAGCTCCTCTCACCTCAGCTTGATGACTGCTTCCTTCTTTACGGGCTATTCATGCCCGTGCCACCTCTTGGGTGGCTTAATCTTCATCAATCAATGCCTTCTTTCTCTCACTAACGGTCTTGACCTAGTTAAAGTAAAGCTGACTTCAATTTCGCCTAATCTTATTAATCTAATCTTACTAATCGCTCAATGATTTGAACTAAACCAGACTTATCTAATAATTTAGACCAACACAGATAAACATGTGATCACTTTGTAAATATACTGCAAATTACCACCATACACTCTTATTACCTTTGTCCTAACTGCGTTGCTGGACTTTACTAACGAGTGTATGACTTCAGCGCGGGCGTGGGGCGGACTGGAACCTTCATCGGCCTCAATAATCTGATCGACGAGATGGCAGAAGAAGACAGCGTGGACGTCTTCCACACCGTGTACAGGATGCGCCTCCACCGCGCCAACATGGTGCAGACAGAGGTGAGGCCCCTTCCTCTCTTTTCAGGTGGTATGTCTTCCACGTGAAGAATTGGCGGTCATCCTTTCTGAAGTGAGGGTTGGTGGTCTTCTTTATCGTGGTGCGGGGGTTGGTGGTCTTCTTTATCGTGGTGCGGGGGTTGGTGGTCTTCTTTATCGTGGTGTGAGGGTTGGTGGTCTTCTTTATCGTGGTGCGGGGTTGGTGGTCTTCTTTATCGTGGTGTGAGGGTTGGTGGTCTTCTTTATCGTGGTGGGGGGGTTGGTGGTCTTCTTTATCGTGGTGCGGGGGTTGGTGGTCTTCTTTATCGTGGTGCGGGGGTTGGTGGTCTTCTTTATCGTGGTGCGAGGGTTGGTGGTCTTCTTTATCGTGGTGCGGGGGTTGGTGGTCTTCTTTATCGTGGTGCGGGGGTTGGTGGTCTTCTTTATCGTGGTGCGGGGGTTGGTGGTCTTCGAATGTGTTCGGATAGTTCAGTAAACTATTTACATCCAACAAAATATGGGAATTAATCAAGACAATAATTACTTATTTAATATCTGAATACATTGTGTGAGAGAATTACATGATTCAGATCTAGCTTACAGTGACAGACAAATTATCATGTATAAGAACATAATAATAATAGATATTGCAGGTCAATTGGCCCATGCATACAGTGTATAATGAAAACCTTGCATCTGTTTTCAACATGGAACTTTACCATGAAGGATCAAGCAAATTTTAAAACATTGCTCTGTGTAGAGCTCTTGATATGATATGGTATCTGGAGTTGCAACACTAGAGCATGAGTGACGGAATTACATAAACTATTGTAACGAAATTCCAGAATTAAAACAGAATACTTAACGTGCTTGCAGACACACGTTACAAAAATCTTAATTACACCGAAATGTTTCTTAAGCCACTGGTATAGGAAATTTCAAGATGGGCAAAACAAATCTTACTGGCTGTTTTACCACGTGTGATAATTGTTCATTTATGTATTTATTGTTGTATAGTAATATTTTACTTTTATTCATTTAAACTGCAACTCGGTGATAAGCTGGTATAATTAACTTTTGTTTTCTCATCTTCAGGCCCAGTACGCCTTTCTCTACAAGTGTATCCTAAAGTACTACCTCAATAGTATAGGTAAGTCTGCCCTGATTATTTACTTAACTGGGTCGGTTGCATTCCGAAACACTGCATTAGCTAGACAGGTGAGGGTCCTGAAGTATTACTTCGACCAGACAGGTGAGGGATCCTGAACTATTACTTCGACCAGACAGGTGAGGGTCCTGAAGTATTACTTCGACCAGACAGGTGAGGGGTCCTGAAGTATTACTTCGACCAGACAGGTGAGGGGTCCTGAAGTATTACTTCGACCAGACAGGTGAGGGTCCTGAAGTATTACTTCGACCAGACAGGTGAGGGTCCTGAAGTATTACTTCGACCAGACAGGTGAGGGTCCTGAAGTATTACTTCGACCAGACAGGTGAGGGTCCTGAACTATTACTTCGACCAGACAGGTGAGGGTCCTGAAGTATTACTTCGACCAGACAGGTGAGGGTCCTGAAGTATTACTTCGACCAGACAGGTGAGGGTCCTGAAGTATTACTTCGACCAGACAGGTGAGGGATCCTGAACTATTACTTCGACCAGACAGGTGAGGGTCCTGAAGTGTTACTTCGACCAGACAGGTGAGGGTCCTGAAGTGTTACTTCGACCAGACAGGTGAGGGTCCTGAAGTGTTACTTCGACCAGACAGGTGAGGGTCCTGACAGGTGAGGGTCCTGAAGTATTACTTCGACCAGACAGGTGAGGGATCCTGAACTATTACTTCTACCAGACAGGTGAGGGTCCTGAA